GCTGACCCGGTTCAATTCCCAGCATCCCATATGGTCCCCTGAGCACCGCCAGGAGTAATTCCTGAGTGCAAGAGCCAGGAGTAATCCCTGTGCATTGCCCGGTGTGATCCAAAAAGAGAAAAAAAAAGCCATTTGATCTCATATGGTCTCCCCACCACCTCCAGGAGTGACTCCTGAGTGGAGAACCAGGAATAACCCCTGAGCATCTCCGGGAGTGACCCAAAAAGCCAACATAAATCCATAAATCAATAAGTGCAATCTGTCTTGGGACAGGAGAGACAGGACAGAAGGGAAGGCACTTGCCTTGCACACGGCCGACTCGGGTTCAATTCCTGGCAGCATGCACAGTCTGTCCCCTGAGCCCCACTAGAAGTGACCCTTGAGCAAGGAGCCAAAAGGAAGCCCTGGGTACAGCTGGGTGTGACCGACCACCAACCCATAAACCCATAAATACTGTGTTATCTATGCAAATCAACATCCATAGTGTGAAGTCCGAGGGATTTTATTTAGAAAATGGTTTTCATTTCTTGGGACCCACCTGGCTGTGCTTAGGGATCCCTCCTGGTGGGTGGTCAAATGTGGTGCTGGGAATCGAACCCAGGTGGACCACAAGGACCCTACCCCCTGTCCTGCTTCTCCAGCTCGGTGGCGTGGGGGGGGGGTTGTGGGGAGGAAGCAATGTAAAAAGCATTTTTATTTATGGGTCACAGAGAGAGAGAGAGATCCAGAGTTTGATCCCCGTGCATCTGGGGTTAGAACTAGCCACCTCGCGCTGCTGGGTTAACATCCAAACAAACACACAGACACCACCTAATTTTAACAGGCCTGAAATACACACTAGGCTAAGTGGCACCCCAGTCTCCCTGGCTGGCACTCTGCTTTCACTTATACCCCACGTGCCAAGAAGCTTCTGGCTCCGTCGGGGAACTCTCTTTCCAGTCTTGCTCAGGGAAAGATCTAGATGGGCCCTGGAGACAGCAATGGAAAGTGCTGAGTCGGGGCAAGGCTGCGTTCTGGCCGGCTTTGTTGTCTAGCCCGGGGTTTCTTCCCCCATTGGTGCCAGTCCCCAGGGCTGGAAAGGTCAAAAAGCACCAATAGGGCCGGAGTGATAGCACCGCGGGTAGGGCACTTGCCTTGCACGTGCCGACCTGGGTTCGATCCCCGGCATCCCATGTGGTCCCCCAAGCACCGCCAAGTGATTCCTGAGTGCAGAGCCAGGAGAAACCCCTGAGCATCGCTGGGTGTGACCCCAAAAAGAAAAAAAAAAGCAACGATAGGGGCTGGAGAGATAGCACAGCGGGTAGGGCGTTTGCCTTGCACGCGACCGACCCGGGTTCAATTCCCAGCATCCCATATGGTCCCCTGAGCACCGCGAGGAGTAACTCTCCTGAGTGCAGAGCCAGGAGTAACCCCTGAGCATCGCCAGGTGTGACCCAAAAAGAAAAAAAAAAAGCACCGATAGACCTCGGTTGTAACTGTCCATCCATGCAAGCAGGACATGTGTGGGTGTGCAGGTGTAAGAGTGAAGCAGGCCGGTCAGGCTGCATTCCTTTTGAGCTGTGTTTTGTCAAGTCCACCGCCCCCTCCTCCCACCTCTCCCTTCAAACTGGGACCGGGAAAGTCAACAGGCCGTGGTGAAAGCTGGTGCAGGGTCAGAGCTATTAACACAAGATAAGCACCGCCAGCCAGCAACCATTCATCCAGGCCCTGACACACACCTCTTCCCTCCCCTCCTGGTGTGAGGGACAGAAAGAACAGCGACTTTGCGAGCTCTGGCCAGGATGCCCACTTCCTGGTTGGTGAACCGGGCTTGGAGAACGCTTCTCCGTGAGCCTGCGCAGAGGAAGAGCCGGGGAGGTGTGCGCGCCGAGTGTGAGGGTCCCGGTGGGCGGAGCCCCAAAGGTGCGCTGAAACAGTGAGCATCTCTCCCAGTGCCAAGCATCTTCTCCTGCCTTTCTGGTTGACTTGACTTCAGATAGAATGAAGGCCTTTGCTCCTGAAGACACAAGATCTAGATTCCATGTCTACACCTGGAGGAGGAGTGTGGTGCTCAGGGCTTGCTCCTTCCTGCCAGGGCTCAAGGGACCCTCTGCGGTGCTGGGGACCTGGAGCGTGCTTTGAAAGCTGGAAGGCCCAGGGTTTGTTTGTTTTTTTTTTTTTGCTTTTTTTTTGGGGGGGGGGGTCACACCTGGCGATACACAGGAGTTACTTCTGGTTCTGCACTCAGGAATTTTTTTTTTTTTTTGCTTTTTGGGTCACACCCAGTGATGCACAGGATGCCACTCCTGGCTCTGCACTCAGGAATTACCTCTGGCGGTGCTCAGGGGACCATGTGGGATGCTGGGAATCAAACCCGGGTTGGCCACGTGCAAGGCAAACGTCCTACCTGCTGTGCTGTTGCTCCAGCCCCAGGTTTGAGCCCCTGGGGCAGAGTGATTGCCTGTGAGCACCAGGCTGGGAGTAGCTCCTGGGTCCTTGAACAAAGAGACATCAAGTGCACGAGGATGCTCCATGGGTTTAGGTCTAATTTTATTTGCTCATTTAAAATTTTTATTTATTGTTTTTGGGGGCACACCTAGCAATGCTCAGGAATTACTCCTGGCTGTGCTCGGGGATTCCTGGCTCTGCACTCAGGAATTACGCCTGGCAGTGCACGGGGGACTATAAGATGCCTGGGCTGTGTGCAAGCCCTACCCGTTGTACTATCTCTCTGATCCCCCTCTCTTTTTTTTTTCTAATTTTATTTTTGGGCCACACCTGGAGGTGCTCAGAACTTAACTCCAGGCTCTATGCTCAGGGATCAAGTCTGGCGGGACTTAGGGGACCGACCATATGGGGTTCTAGGAATTGAACCTAGGTGCAAAGCAAGCACCTTCCTTGCTGTGCTGTGGCCCTAATATGTCTAATTAAAATTAAAAAAAAAATTTTTTTTTGTTTTTTCCTTTGAAGCCATACCCAGTGATACTTAGGGCTTCCTTCTGGCTCTGTGCCAGAAGGGGGATCAACTGTGGCAGGGCTTGGGGGGCAGGGGAACCACGTGGGTGTCCGCGACAGACCCTAGGTCTGCAGGGCACGTTCCCCACCCACTGGCACTATCGCTCTGGCCCAGGTTTCTGTCTAAGTCACACAAGGGAAACAATCTAAAATTCCTCTGGTAGGAAACTGATTGAATTAATCAGCCTAGTTATGTGATAGTGATTTAAGGTCTGGAGATGACCTTTTAAGGCCACAGAGTCGGAACAAAGCTCTGGGAAGAGGGGAGGAGGGAGGGAAGGGGGAGGAGGGAGGGAAGGGGGAGGAGGGAGGGAAGGGGGAGGAGGGAGGGAAGAGGGGAGGGGAGCTGAGGGCTTAGCAGGGAGGAGAAGACCAGGGGGTGGGGGTGGGTTCCTTCCAAGGAAACCAAACCCAAAGACCAGCCAAGCCACAGAATAAAACCTAGAAAGCTCCTGTGTACTTCTTCTTCGTCTTCTTTTTTTTTTTTTTTTTGCTTTCTGGGTCACACCCGGCGATGCTCAGGGGTTCCTCCTGGCTCATGCACTCAGGAATCACTCCTGGCAGTGCTGGGGGACCATATGGGATGCCGGGAATCGAACCTGGGTCCGAAGCATGCAAGGCAAACATCCTCCCTGCTGGACCATAGCTCAGGCTCAGTTGGACAATCTGAGAGGGGAGAAATGCTTGCCACAGAGGCCGGCTGGGGGACAGAGGGGACCTGGGGATATTGGTGGAAGTGGTGAAGGGACTGGTGTTGGAACACTGTATGCCTGAAACTTGTTTTTATTTATTTAGGCTTTGAGGCCACACCTGGGGCAGTGTCAGGACTGACTCCTGGTTCTGGGCTCAGAAACCACTCCTGGCAGTGCTGGGTTGGGGGCCAGATGGGATGCCGGGATCTAACCCAGGTGGGCTTTGTGCAAGGCAAACACCCTCCCCATTGTCCTATCTGTTGGGCCTCTGCCTGAAACTTATTAACTTTTTATTAACTCTATAATTATTTCAATGTATAATAATTATATTAATATATGTTTACATTTATATATCTCTCATAAATATATTAATATATATTTACATTTATATATATCTCATTCCTACTTTGGACAAACTGGCAGGCTACCGAATGTAGCCTGCCCACACGGCAGAGTCTGGCAAACTCCCCGTGGCATACCCAATATGCCAAATACCAGTAACAATGATGGGTTTCATTCTTCTATAGAGCCTTGAATATAATCTCAGGGCTAGGATGAAGGAGACGTTACTGGGGCCTGCTCGAGGCAATCGACGATTAACAGGATGATTTGTGGATTTGTGATATTTACATTTGAAAATGTATTTTTATATACACACATCTATACATACATTACACACACACACATAAAATCCTAGAAAGCCTCAAAGGAAAATAAATATGCTTTTGAGGAATATTTGGTGATAAGGGAAAAAAAAAGTTCCTGGTAAAATGCTAAACAAAAAAGCTGCAAGCCAAAATCATCTTCCAGGGATGGACAGTACAGCAGGTAGGGCGTTTGCCTTGCGCCCTGCATCCGACAGGGTCCCCTGCCCCCCCCCCCCCACATCCCCAACACCACCGCCAGGGCGATCTGTGCTCAGGAGCACAGAGCCCTGAGCATTGCCTCCTGTGGCCCCCAACAAAAACCAGCTTAAAAAAAAAAATCCTCTTCCAACATCACCCTCCCAGGACACACCCAAAGGAAGCGATTCCTTCCTGGCGCCTGGTGGTGGTGGTGGGGTTTAGAAAGCAGTGATTTCGGCATTTTGGTGCTTCTCTCTCTCTTTTTCGTTTTTCTTTCGTGGGGGAAGGTGGGGTGTGGAGGGGTAGGAGCCACACCCGGCCGGCGGGGCCGGGGATCGAACCTGGGTGGGCCCGGCCGGGCGCCCTCCCTCCCCGCAGCGCCCCCTGGCGGCCGTCCGAGGCCCCGCCCCCGGCAGGCGGCGGCCGGGCCGGGCCGGGGCGGGGCGCGGACGCTCAGCTCAGACTGGCCAGGCGCGGCGTGCGGACTCGCCCAGCCCCGACCCCGGAGCGCGCGCGCGACCTCGCAGCGGCCAGGCAAGCCACGGGGTGGGGGGTGGGGGGGTGGAGGGGGACGGGACAGCGCGGCCCGCGGGGGGCAGCGGGGGGCGCGCGGCTGGGGGGGGGGGGGCCGTGTCCCAGCGCGGGGACCTGGTGTCCTTCTGTCGGCCTTTCCCGGACGGGGCGAGCGAGCGGCGCCCGGCTGGGCCTCGGGAGCCGACTCCCCCTCCCCAACCCACCCCTTAACACCCCCGGAGTGGGGCTGGGGGGGTCTCGGGGATCGGCGCCGGGCGTGTCCCCGGTGCCAGGCTCGGCGCGGCGGTGCCCGGGGCGCGGGCGCCGGGGGCGGGGGTGGGGGCGGGGAGGGTGTCCCGGGCGGGTGTAGACAGGTGCATGGGATTGGAGGAACCCCCTCCTGCCTCCACTTGGTGGGGGTGGGCCCACGCCCCACCGCGGGGGCTGGGGGGGGGGTTCCCTGACGCTCTCCCGGGCCGGCCTGGGGCCTGGGCCGCACCAGATGTCACGGAAGGTCCCGGGGTGTCCAGTTCTCGGCGGCTCTGAAATATTCATCTGCCCCGCGAGTGAGCTTTGGTTTCAGAGCTGCCGGCGGCCGCGCCTTTGGCCTGGCTGGTTTGTCCGGTGGCCAGTGGGGAGGGAGACCCCCCCCACCCCCCATCAACTCAGGGCCAGGGGCCTCCTCCCCACCTCTCCCTCGTGTGCCAGCTCAGAAGTGTGTCCAGGGATGGGGGGGGGGGGGGGCCGAGACTGTTCTCACTGTCTGGGGCCAGGCTGTGAGCTCAGCGCTTCGCTTGTAAAAGACTGAGATACAGAGAGTGGGGGGAGGGGGGTAATGATGGGGTCCACCTGCGTTGTGGGCAGGCCGCCGCGGGGATAATAGCCGCCTCTGACCAGCCTGCTTCCCCTGGCCTTCACCTGAAACCGGCCCTCTCAGCTCTATGCACACCCCCCACCTCTCCCTGCCGTCCCTCAGGCAGCGGGGGACGCGTGTCCAGCAAACTGGGTGGATGGCCAGCACAGCCAACTAACTCTGAAGTGGGCTTTCTGGAATATTCTGTAGGCGACACTATGCAGTGGGTGACCTTGACAGAAAGCCTCCGGGCCCTGGCCGCAGGATGCTAGATCAAAACCTGTGGGGTGGGGATGGCAAGAGATAGTACAGGGGTTTAGGGTATGCCAACCCCAGTTCTGCCCCGGACACTGCCTGGTTCCTGGAGCACTGCTGGGGGTAGCCCTGAGCACTGCCGGGTATGACCCTGGAGCCTCCCTCCCACCCAGAGCACTGTTGGGGTATCCCAGGTGAGCCCTGAGCATCCTTGGAACTTACGCTGAACACCCCAGCCCAGCTGCCTGAGTCCACGAGGAAGGACCCCCGGCTCTGCTTAGGAAGTCAAACACAGGAACCCAAGAGGGGTCCGAGGGATAGTACAGGGGTCCAGGGCTGGCCTTGCACCCCTGTAGGATCCTGGGCACTGCCTGGAGAGTGGGCACAGAGCCAGGAGTAACCCCCCAGCACTGCTGGGTGTGGCCCCCCCAAAAAAACAAAATAAACCAGAACCAAAACAGAGCACAGAGCTAAGAGTAGCCAGCCTCCCATTGCCAACAAAACATCTGTGTTTCGTTTTGAAGTAGAAACCAGCCCCCCACCCCCACCCCCCAGTGATCCTGGCACTGCCCAGCAGGAGCCTGGAGGGTGCTGGCCACCCCTTCTCTGAGAGGAAGAAGGGACAGACCTTTCCTCCCAGCATCAATCATGCTTCGTGTTTCTCCCACGAGAGATGATGATGTCAGGGCATGCCGGCTTCCGGGTCCTGTGCTAGCCGGAGCCGTCCCCTAGCCCTTGGCCAGAAGTCCCAAGGGAGAGGATATAACTGAGGCTGGCTGAGGCGAGAAAGGACCCTCACGGTGGGGGGGGGGGCGGGGGCACGGGGCAGGGATTCAGCTTGGTTAGTGGCCGACGTCGGTCTGTCCCACCATGCTCTGGGGGCCAGGTGAGGGGTTTCGGATACGGGGCGCTGAGGCCATGAGTCACTCCCAGGGTTGGGTCTGGCTGAGGCACTGTGGCCTGGATTAGTTTTAATGCCCAGCCTTGATATTTATGAGGTGTGTCCTGATAAAAATGTTTCAGGTTAAGGAAGTGTGACGATGACGGGATACCCGGATTCAAGTCTTGGGCGTGTTTGCTCGCTGCGGGACTCTGTGCCTCGTGGATTTCCGAAAGGGGGCATGGATTGTTCTCGAGTTAGAGAAAGGGGCGAGGGATTGTTGTTCTCTAGACTTACCCAGAGAAAGGGGGGATGGATTCTTCTCCAGATCTACCCATGTCCAGAGTTTCTCTTTCAACACTTCCTGAAGCTGTGCTCTGTGATTTGGTGTTAGTGCTTTTGTTTGTTTGTGTCTGGGCCACACCCAGTGGTGCCCAGGGCTTGCTCCTGGCTCTGCACTCAGGGATCAGTCCTGCGGGTTCAGGGGACCATCCGCGGTGCTGGGGACCATATGGGGTGCTGGGTCTGCTGTGTGTAAGGTGAGCGACGCACCTCTGTGCTTTCTCTCTGGCCCCTGGAGCTGTTCTTTTGGGGGCATCTTCCAGGCAATGCTTAGGGGGCCAGGGCGCCCGTCTTGTCCTATGCAGCCACTCAGCTGGAGGGCTGTGCTCAGATCCACACCGCATACCCCAGGGGTGCTGGGGCTCACCAGAGACACCCCAAAGGTGCCTGGAGGTCCCCAGGGTTATCCCGGAGTTTCTTGAGTGGGGAGGGGCATGTGGAACTTTCTACATGCAAAGTGTGCATTCTGGCCCTTAGAGCCATCCCCCCTGGCCCCAAGATTGGTTTTGAATTTAACTTTTATTTACTTTTTTGCTTTTTGGGTCACACCCGGCGATGCACAGGGGTTACACCTGGCTCTGCACTCAGGAATTATTCCTGGCGGTGCTCGGGGGACCATATGGGATGCTGGGAATCGAACCCGGGTCGGCCGCGTGCAAGGCAAATGCCCTACCCGCTGTGTTATCGCTCCAGCCCCCAAATAATTTTATTTTTAAAGTTTTGGGGCCACACCTGGCAATGCTCAGGAGTTACCTCTGGTTCTTCCTTCAGGAGTCACTCTTGGTGGGCCTGGGGGACCACGTGGGATGCCGGGGATAGACCCTGGGTCGTGCAAGGCAAATACTAGCTGTACTATCTCTCCAGCCCAAACTGATTGATTGGTTGCTTTTTGGGTCACATCCGGCGATGCTCAGGAGTTACTCCTGACTCTGCACTCAGGAATTACTCCTGGCACTGCTCGGGGGACCATATGGGATGCCGGGGATCGAATTCAGGTTGGCCGTGTGCAAGGCGAAAAGGCTCTTTTCCTGCTGCTCTATGGCTCCAGCCCTCCAGCTCAAATATAGGTAGCACTGTAGCACTGTCCTCCCGTCGTTCGATTCGCTCGAACAGGCACCAGTAACATCTCCCAACAAATTGTGAGACTTGTTGTTACTGTGTTTGGCATATTGAATACGTCACGGGGAGCTTGCCAGGCTTTGCTGTGCGGGCCAGATACTTTTGGTAGCTTGCCGGGCTCTCCAAGAGGGGTGGAAGAATCGAACCCAGGTCGGCCGTGTGCAAGACTAACACCCTACCCGCTGTGCTATCGTGCCAGCCCTCAAATTTAGGTTAAAAAAAAAATTGTTGCTGCTGCTTTGGGCCACTCCTGGCGGAGCTCAGGACGAGCTGGGGGACGGACTCCCCCGCCCGAGGCTGTGTGCTTTGTCCTGGGGATGCCAGGCTGCCTGGTTCCAGCTGTCTCCCCCGGTTTCTGGGAACAGTCCTTCCTCCTAGTGACAGAACTTGGCTGTGTGGGGAGAGCGGAGTCACAGGCCGTCTTGCCCGTGGCCCTGCCCACGTCCTCTGACCAGTTTCACAACAGTCCTGGGGCTGCGTCAGTTCCTGGCGGAGGCAGGTCACTGGAGACTTCTAGTCGGCGGTTGCTCCACTCCCGGGCCAGCTGGAGTGGGTTCGGACCGCTTGGTCCTGGGTACCCATTTCACAGATGAGAGAACTGAATCCATCTAGAGAAGCGAGGTGGGGGGCCGAGCCTACCCTCCTGCCTGCTGACCTTGGGCTCTGGCCCGAGCGTGGGGTGGTGTGGACCGCTCTGCAGGGTGGCTGACCTGGGGGTGGGGGCAGCGCTCAGGGGTTTCTCCCATAACCACGTGTTCCAGCCACAGCTCCTGCTGGGGCGGGGGCTAGGTCTGGGTTTCTGGTCAGTAGGGTGGGGAGTACCGGCACCTGGGTGGTGGGGCTGGGAGGGTCAGAGGGGCCCTGATGGCCGGTGGTCGGGACGGTCCTCACTGCTCTATCCACAGGCCCTTCCTGGCCTCCTGTCCACTGCGGGGACGGCCAGGGGCCTTGTCCAGCAGTTTTTCACATTTTGGGGGACCATATCGGATGCCGGAGATCAAACCTGGGAAGGCGCCCTACCCACTGTACTATCCCTCTGGCCCCTCCACCAGTTTTTTAATCTTTTGTTTGTTTGGGGGGGGAGGCACACCCAGCAGTGCTCAGGGATCACTCCCGGCATGGCACAGGGGCACCATCTGGGCCCCATGCCAGGGCCAGCGTGCCACCTGCCGTGCTATCTCTCTGGCCCCTGTTCCAAGGTCTCCACCCTGAGCTCTGCTGGAGAGGCAGGAGGGAGGAGCGGGGGATGGGCCCACAGAGGAGGGTGCAGGGGTGCTGTGGCTGTGCTGCCCTGGGGGACCCAAGGGTCTGAGGAAGAGTGGGGAGCGGGGGCGGGGGGGGGAGAAGGGGCGTTTCTAGGGGTTGCCAGAAGCTTCTCTTCCTGAGCAGGCTGCAGGGAGCCGCAGGCCCTGAACTGTTGGCAGGGCCTGAGCTGAGTGACCCCAGGGCTGGCCCAGCCTGGGCCGGAACTCTCGCCCTGCTCCCAGTTTCTTATCTGTGGGTGGCCAGAGGATGTGTCCGGCATGTAGGGTCCATAGCAAAGAAGTGCTCTGAGCCTTGAGGCAGGGACTG